TAGGTTGCAAACACCTTGTTTGTCATGTAGTTTCATCTTTTAAGATTGCTGTTCCATAAAAATATGAGCTTCAATGCAAAAGCGTTCTTCTTAGTAGGTGGGGGACAGAACTAACTTTGTTTCAAGTTCTAGAAGCTTGGTCAATATTCCAAATGTTAGGTTAACTGTCTTCAAAAATGTGTATTTTCTGTGAATATTTTAGTAAGTGCTTAAGTTGTATAAAATGGTTTAAGATCATCAGCAAAAATGACTAAGTATGGCAACTAATCAAAGTGGGTTGTTAAAGGTATGTCCTTGATATCATAGTGCACATGCAGGGAAGAGAGGGAACCAATTTCAGTGGAAGATTCCTTTTGGTATCTGCCAAGGCTGTGCTTCCAGAAAGCAGGTGGGTGGAGTGATTAACGATAGATGCATGGAATGGAAAGCCTCTGCAGGGCTCATCATTCCCAGTTGTATTTTGGTGTGCTTCAACTTCATGAGCTCCAGTGTGTCAAATCATATCTCTAAACTTATATTTTGTCGGTGCCCTCTGTGCACTTCTCCAAGCCGATCTCAGCTGCGCTGTCTTAACTCCACTCCCCAGGGAGGGGAGCCAGGCAGATGGGGTTAGGGCAGAGGACTGATGCATCTGACAGCAAACGGCCGGGTTGTTGAGTGGAAGCTGTGAGCGTCAGGAAGCTACTTTTCCCCTGAGAACCAACTAACCACTGAAGAAAGTTGAAAATGAGCCCTTTGAGAAACGCTATTAAAAGTAGTAAAAAATTGCAATTGTGCAGATGATGTGCTGCTGTGTGCTTATTCGGATGCTAATGAGTTTGACATTAGGGAACTCAGAGGCTTTACAGCTACTCCCTTATGTGATTCAGTTCTTTATTGGCAATCTTTGAGAAAATAAATGGAAAATGTATTGCTAATAAATACATAACACGATAGGGTATTAGACAAAAAGCCATTACTTTCAGGATTTAGAAAGAGCTTTGTTCACCAGTGTGACTGTTTTCCAGGATCTTTTGTTTTAGGTTAGTGTACAGCAAACAAAGGGGAGTAGCAGGTGGAAAGCTTCAGAACTCTTTCTGAACCGAGGGTGCAGGAGAATAGGCCAAAAACGTTTGTGGAGAAAGCCTTCTTTTAGTTGCAATCAAACACAAACAGAATTCCCAAGCTCCCGTGCTACTTTTCAATTCTTACATCATGTGCCGTAATCTGCTCTATCACTGGAGAGAGTTTTATCTCCATTTTTCCCTTTAGTTGCAATCAAACACAAACAGAATTCCCAAGCTCCCGTGCTACTTTTCAATTCTTACACCATGTGCCGTAATCTGCTCTATCACTGGAGAGAGTTTTATCTCCATTTTTCCGCAGGAACTACCATTGCTGGCTTGAGCTGAAGAAGCATCTGCTTAATGTCTGGTCAAAGCCTAGAAGTGATACAGAAATCTATGGTTAGAGAGCTGGACTCTGCAGTGTACCGCAAGGGACAAAAGACAGGACGATAGAAATCTCCTGCAAGGAAGGTTGGTGGTTTGTGTTTTTAAAATACCAGAACTGCCAGATGTAAACATTTTAAATGTGCATTGATATATGTGGTGTTTGTGTAAATAGGTCCTCTCTAGTACGTTGAGTGCAGTACACTGAATTTCAAAGTTTTCTCTCAAGGGCCGAATGGCCTGATGAAAACAGAGGCTGTGCCCATCCCTGGGTCCGAGCAGAGGTGATGCCACAATGTGCACTGTGACTGAACACAAAGTGACCCGAGGGCAGGTCTTTTCTAGGAAAGCAGGTTAGAACACTAGCAGAAGTGTCGTTTTCTCTCAAGGGCCGAATGGCCTGATGAAAACAGAGGCTGTGCCCATCCCTGGGTCCGAACAGAGGTGATGCCACAATGTGCACTGTGACTGAACACAAAGTGACCCGAGGGCAGGTTGTTTCCAGGAAAGCAGGTTAGAACACTAGCAGAAGTGTGAGCAGCACTTTATGATGGCCTCACCGAAGTGAAGCCTAAGTAACCAAAGGACACATTCTGAGTTTGTCTTTTGTGACTTCTTGAGTATCGTGCATTCCACATATTGTCTTGACTCTTTCTTTTGGGTGCTAAAAGTAAAGATAATAGTTAAAATAACTGAAAGTCCTTCTTATCCAGTTTCCCAACTACATTGAAAATGTAATTGGTAATAAAGACAGAAACGAATTTGGGTTACCTTTAAAAAATCCTTTGCTCATTGATACTTCTATAAAAATGTTCATTCTGTTTGTGGTAGAACAACCCAATGACAGGTAACGTGCCAGTGTGGGCTTAGTGTTCATTTAGGCATCTGTTGCTGCTCTTCTGTTTCCTGAAGGAAAGCCTGACATGCTTTCCTTCCTTTATTTTTCTCTCAGTAGAATGAACTTCAGGATTTCTCACTAAATCGGACACATTTAGTCACTCTGACGGAGCAGAGCACACTGAGTTGGCATACAAGTTACCTGGAGAAAGAGAGAGGTATTTTATTTATTAAAAAGTAGAATATATTGAAAGAAAATGAATTCCATCAAAGAATTTATATAAAGCCTTCCTTTACAGCAGTGTGTGGTCTCTATGGTTTGCTTTCAAATTTATTGTTAGTGCTGAATTTAGAATTGTGATTTTTGTCAGAAGCACAGTCCATTTAATATTTAAAAATATTAAACCAATATCCCCTGAGCCTCCTAACCTTTTGCATATTGATTAATATGTGTTATTTGTTCACACAGTTGCCCTTAAAGAAAGGTTTATTGTTAAAAATAGTTTTAAAAATAATATTAATTCATTTGTATTAGAAATTAGTTTGCTTAATAATGAAGACTGAGTTTTTTTAAAGCGTGATTTTAAAAGCACTATAGATAACTTCTAGAGTTATTTCTTACAAACGCTGAATAGTAAGAAATTGGGTTGTTCTTAAGAAAAGTCTGCTTAATACATCCCTGTATGAAGGAGCTTGTTTTCTAACATTTACGTATTTTGCAACAAACGCATTTTAAAATATCGGCAAGAAAAATTTAAAGACCCTTTTAGTGTTATTACTTGCCTTGAGTTATCTTTAAACACGGCATATTAAAAAATAAAGCAAACAAACAAAAAACATCTCTCCTAAAACACAAAGTTGGTGATTGCCCCCTAATGTCACAAAGCTGTGACTCTGAGCCCGTGGGTATGATGACTAATAGAAATCCTTGGCACATGTTGGTGACCTAAGGGAATAATAGAACTATTTGCTGGAGTCGTTTGGCGAAAGGACACCAACACATGGCTTTGGTTTATATTCAGCATTTCCAGTTCTACAAAGTTGCAAGATGAAGTCTACGACACAGTGACATCTCAGAAATACGAATCCGCAAAAATCACCCTCCTTATAAGCTACCAAAGCTTGTCTCTGGTCTATTGCGGTACATTTCCAGTTGATCCTAGACAATTTCCTTTAAAAATCATCTCATCTGTGGGAAATGTACATGCACAGGCCCTCAGGAAGATCTATTTCCCAGAATACTGTACTTAATCTGATATCAGACTGAATCTGCTTTTTCCTTTAGGTTTGGTATTTATGGCCCTAGGAGGGATTAGGGAAGACAAGGAAAAGTAGTATAAATCTAAAGTGAACATATCATTCAATTCTTCAGCTTTCTATACAGAATCAAAGGCAGTACAATAAGAGAGATAAAGGAACAAAGAGTTGAAATCAAGGGTAGTGTGTCCCACAAAGGTTGAGATGTTCAGAAAAGTGTAAATATGTCATCATGAATGGTGTAAAAAACCATGTTTTTGCTACAGCTGAGATTTTTTTAAAAACTTACTTTCTAAACGTGCTCCTCGTCTTCCTGAGTAATTAATAAACGTATGAAAACTAGAAAAGTAAAAAGAGAGTAAGAATAGACAAAAAATATACTTAAACGTTCCTGGTATCCCTCTGCATAAGTCAGCTGTTGTCCCTTATTTAGCACTGCAGCTCATTTTCCCCACAATTTTTCCTTGTGTAACAGGTAAACATCTCTGCTGCTGTTTTGGGTTGACCCAAAGCCATGTTTAAAGCAAAGTGATGCCAGAATCATCCAAAGAAAGGGCACGCAGTGCGGTGTTCTTCGTTTTTCAGTCTGGCCAATTTCATCCCAAGGTGCTGGCATCATCTAGTTGTTTCATGTTCTGGGCTTAGCCTTTTCCAACTTCCTGAGTTTCTCTTTGTCATTTTTTAAAAAACATTGATTTGTAAAAAGGAAGCATCCACTAAGGATAAAGGGCTTCTCATGGCAGCCACAGACCTTCTCTCACCATGGCCATGAATTCCCAAGGATGGAAGCGACATCTCACATGAGCAATGAGATACAAAACACGACCATACTTCCAGGTCAAAAGCTCAGGAGAGGAACACAATGAAGTCCCGTCAAAAGGGGAAATCACTGCAAGTAGAATGTTTGTGAAGGACTTCGCAAATTAAAAGCAGCTACCTGCCTGAGGCATTTAACTAGGCAGTACTGAGATTACTTGTATAAGGGCTTTCAAAAAGTGCCCTCAGAACACTGTGATTACCATGACTTTTTGCTACAAATATTAAGAAACTCGTGACTACTTATGAGTGTATATTATAAGTACGTATTGGGGTTGTCAGTATCTAGAGCTCTGTTGAAAGGAGAAACAAAATTTCAACTTCACCAAGGGATTTATTTTATCTAAGTTTTAAGAAGTGATTAAATATTTACTTGGAAAGTTTAGTTTGGTTTGGTTTGGTTTTTGGTGGTCTTTTGTTCTGTTTTGTCATTCGGTTAAAATAGGATGTTGAGTGAAAAATAAAACCAAAGGGAACTAAACCTCCCCACATACCAGTAGTTGGCTTGCATGAATGAAAAACAAATTGAGTTTATGAATTCTGTGTCCTGCTCCTTGAGTCTCTCTCCCACAAAACAACAATTCCAGGACTTCCTCTTCAGCCCAAAAGAAGGTAGCAGATCTGTGCCCTGGGGTGATGTGGAAGACGTCTGCGTATCGCCCCTTGATGTAAGCTCCAGTCAGAAAAGACGTGACGTTCATGGAGCTAGGGAATCATTTTGTACACCTGTGTTTAGGTTTGTAAGTATATAAAGATGGTAAATGAGAGCTTTCCCAATTCAACAAAATAGCTACATTTCATTTTACGGTCATTCTTCATTTCATATCTGCTTATTTTCATTGTTGGTTCTTGCATGTCCCCCTTTTCCAAATTTTGCTTCTTGGCCTTCTTTATTTTATATGTTTTTTTACCGCACGCCATTTCTCCTTGTATATACCCCTTTCCCAGAGAATTGGGACATGAAAGCTTTTTAAAAGGCTTCTTGGCCTTCTTTATTTTATATGTTTTTTTACCGCACGCCATTTCTCCTTGTATATACTCCTTTCCCAGAGAATTGGGACATGAAAGCTTTTTAAAAGTCTTCTTCATGGCTTTCATAGGAATTAGATACCAAACGTGAACCACTTTTTTCTACTTGCTATAGAAATATTATACATAATATATCAATACTTACAGGTTAAACTGAACTTTTCTTAAGGCAGTTTTATTTTTTTTTAATTTCAGGATCTTATTTTGTTGATGAGAGAATTTTTACAAAATAAAATCTCTGTTTTGAAAAAAGGCATGATTTGTTAAGTTTTACAAAATAAGTTGCAGGCTTTTCAACAATACCTGGGACTCAAGCAGTAAAAATGATGAAGTCTTCTACTCTAGTGGGAAAAAACAAAGTTCCCAACAAGGAGTATAATTTTCAAGATTGCAGTACATGTTATATAGGTCAATTTCCTGAATCATGCCTTAATCAGGTGCCTCTTCTATAATTCTGGAAGAATTTGAAAGAATGATAATCTACCCCTACCCTTCCTATGGTTTCAACATATGCACTGAGGTAGAAATCTCTTTCATTTTTTAATGGTCCATTACCTAGTCAAGGTACCTATTGAATATGAGGCTTAATTTTAGAAAAATTAGGTCTTCCTATTGACAGTTTACTAAAGTCCACAAAAATTATCCAAATAAAGAATACTTAGAAATTTCTACTCCCATATCCAAGATTCTAGAGGACAAAGACCTATTTTTAAATTGAGATCTATGAGGAGAAAGAACCATCTCATGAATGTTAAAACTCTCCAGCCCCCAAAAGAAAAGCACACATGCTCTAGGTTTCTGATATTCCTGTTCCCCAATGAGTCACAAGATGCCCAGACACCAAACTTAGTAACTTTTAGTTCTTTTTTAGTTCTTCAGGTGTGAAGAAGAGAAAGAAGGTGAAATAGTTGGGTTGTGTACTATGGCCTTGATCCATTTCACTGCTACAACTTGGCAAACCAGTTAAATTTGAAAACTTAGTTTTACAAATGCATTATCAGATTTTAAAATGTTTACTGTATATAAGATACATATATATATACACACACACATACATATATATATCACACCAACAAGAGGACAATAGCTCAAAAAAATACAATTATGAGACTAGCATTCCAAGCACAATCCAGAGAGGTCCATAAATATTTATGCTTTTCTTGCAATGACTTTAATGGAAAGATGGCTACATGTGGTAGTAACAAGAGGCCAGGCCCTTGGATAGCTGAACTGCAAAATAGAATTAGGCTTAAAACTATTATAAAGAAGGTTGTACTTAAATACACTTCTGAAACTTTTACGTGTGCCTGCTGGCACTCTTTGTAGTCTGTAGCTGAACTGCAAAATAGAATTAGGCTTAAAACTATTATAAAGAAGGTTGTACTTAAATACGCTTCTGAAACTTTTACGTGTGCCTGCTGGCACTCTTTGTAGTCTGTGTTTCAGTTTTGATATGGAAACTCATGGAGTTCAACCTTCCCTTGCCTTTGGGGGAGTTTTTCCGAATGGCTGGGAAGAGCTAATAATACCTGTAAGGCTGGAGAGCCGCAGACCAGGAGTGTGGCTGCTCACCAATGGAAGTGGCTTCCTTGGAAACATTTGGTGGTTTTCTCATTTTAGCTCTCACATGCTACTGATCTCTCTTGATCTAGTAATTCACTCAGCGCATGGAGGGCCATTTCTGCGAGTTGAGCCACTCTGTCTGCAGCAGAGATGCTCACAGAGGAAAAGAAGTGGGATTTCACAAGGCAGTACTCACCATCCTGGATAAAGCAAGGCAGAGCCACATCTATCATAAACTCATGTGGTTTTAAAAGAAGGAAAATCCACAGGAGAAAAACACCTCTGTTTTATTGTTGTTTTTCTCTTATTGTGTACTTCGAAAATATTCACAACAATGAACCATTTTATTTAGACTAAAGCTACTGCTGTTTAGCAAAAGTGGTGAACACTTTTTGTCTGCTGATTTAAAAAGCAGTTCAACCATTGGTATGGTGTTTATTATGAAATGACAAAAGAGTTCTGGTGGTTTTAATAGTTTTAGCTTAGGAGAGCTGTCGTTAATTTTGTCTGTAGTGTTGCAGGTGAAAAAATGCACAACGGATAAATAGTCTATATTGGTTTAACTGAACATAATATATAGTGTGTTCTGGAGTTGTTTGTCTCAATAGACTATAGTAATCAAAAGTAATGAACCTATTATGTGCAGGACCTTGGAGAGCGTCGAATGGCAGTAAAAGTGTGGCACATAAAAGGTTTATTAAGGGAAATTAAAGTCCATCATTGCCACACCTGCTCCCCTATTATAAGTCTATGGCAGGTCAGTGCCTTCAATCACAACTCAGCCTCCGAGAGCAGAGACGCGGCCCCCATTACCATGGCAGTCACACCGCACCCGAGCTGGTGTCAGGATTTGAGGGTGGAAGCCACGGAAAGTGCCTTCTGCCTGCCTCTGATTTCCAGCAAGCAAAACAACTTATTTACGTTTAAGAATTCCTTATGGTGATATACAGAAGTGAATTAAACTTGCTAAGAGATGGTTAGCAGATTCTAGTGAAATGGGTGGGTGTAGTCGGGTCAGAGTCTATGAGAACAACAGGCTCTTACAGTTCTGTGCATTCCTTTGCTAATTTATTTGATTACATTTAAAATAGTAATGATGTTTTAGGGAATCTGAAACTGACACACCATCACTCAAATTTCATCTTCCTTATGCCCTTGGATGATTATAACCATAACCAGTATTTATTCTGGAATTCTGGGAGTGAACGTATATCATTGCTGATAATCAGAATTTCTAACGGTATTTTCAGAGGTTTGTCTCCATGTTGCTTTTTTAGACAGGGAATTATTTTTCCTAACTTAGAAAGAGGTATGTATCAGGAAGGGTCTAGAAATGTAAATGGATTAGATTTTAGCAAATCAGTCTGAAATCTTTTGGTTTGATATGTGAGGTTCCATCTCCTTCACAACCACTGCTAATCACACAATCCTTTCTCTATTTTTATAATGCCAGAAGTGTTTGAATCACTAGCAAACACTTGTGGACAAGGACATCTGCCCTGTTGTCACTGTTTTCTCATATAGATGGTCTCTATAGATGTATTTCTAAAACCAGTGGTATGCGAGGGCAGTCACAGTTATATCCTTGTAGAGCCAGAATGGGATTCCAGAGCATGGAAAGCTATTCTGTTTTTTCATAATGACCTTCAGAACTTCTAATTATATGTTTTTCATATTTTGGTCACTGTCAAAGGAATGACCTCTGGACTATGTGTTCATGTTACAGATGGATGCAGAGGCTGAAGATAAAACACTGCGTACTCGCTCTAAAGGGACCGAGGGTGAGTGAGCAAGTGGGGTCTGTGAAATGCTGCCCCGCGTACCAGGGAAGGGAGTTCCAATGCTCAGTCTCTAATGTGGTCAGAATGATTGCAACTTTCTCGGGGCTTCTGTTTTCCTAATCAAGCCAGGACACTGGCTCTTGGCACTGAGAGGCAAAATAGCAAGAACCAGGAGTTAAAGAACTCGGAAAAGTCCAAACGATGTACGATACTAATTTTTACAAAATGCAGTCTTGAGTGAACGTGAAAATCATGCAAAATAACGTGAGGTTCAGCAAACGAAGAATGCCTCATGGAGACCTACGAGTTATTCAGGTGACCTTTAATGGCCAAGGGAAAAAACCAAGTTGCTAGTTTACTGCCAAAGCAGGTTTGGGGGTTTATTCTATCTGCTTTAGTGACTCCCAATCTAAACTTAGTTCAAGTAAAATGGTGATGTTTGTTTTTTGACTGTCCCTGCTGGGAATTTCCGGCAGCCCTGCAAAGCGATGTTTGGAAGGTTTAACTTGCCAGTTATCCCTCTCTTTTTGTAACCAACAGATGGTAATGTAATACTGAAATATAAACAGGCCCTTGATGATCTAAACATCTGGAAAACAGGATTGACTGGCAGTAATACCCCTTAAGGAAAATAACTTTTATTATAATTAGCTATATTTTTGTGACCCTTAATTCTAAGTGGAAAACTGTGGGTTCACCATGGCCTCTGAAAACACTGGGGTAGCTCTTCCCCACCCCTCCCCGCCTTTCCCAGGGCTCGCCTTGCTGAGGAAGGCTGAGTCACAGCAGCAACGTGCACTGGTTTGGAAGGATTTTGAGATGCACAGTTGAAAGTGGCTGATCAAATCGAATGCTTTCATTAGCTGTGTTTTGATATGTAGTCAAGATTGTTAATTACCGTTTGAGTAAAGTCCAGAATCCCAAAATTTTTAAGAAATTCAAAGATCATTTTTTTCAGTTAAAAAATGTATCATTATTCATGGTAACCAAAATTCAGAATAACACTGTTCACAATATGAGACTTTTCTCTACTTAAACAGTTTTACGTTGTTTTATTTTCCAGTTTAAGCTTAAATTACTTTTAAAGTAACCACATTGTATATCCTAATATGTGGAATGTAGTATTTCTAAACAGTAAATTTTTATGCAGGAAACTTCTCAATAGGATAAAAGTTTAAGAAAAACAGTTTGTTTCGTTATGTAGGATACACTCATGCCTGCCATAAATATCAGCATTGTTGGGATTGAATTTGGATTATATGAATCTCTTACGTTTACTTCTAAAAGCACACTACTCTATCATACTTTTAAAATGTGAGTCTTTTAATTTACAATTCTTTTTGGACTCGAATTCTTTTGGCAAATGCATATGCACCCTTAAACAGAGTCAAATGTTCTTCTAGGGATGGAGCAACTGTTTTATGAGTAGTCTTTAAAAGCGCCTGTTGTTTCTGTGAATGTGCTCTTTGCCCTCATGTAGGCAGGTATCTGTAAACAGAAAGTTCTTTAGCTTCCATCGTATCATTCAGAAAAATCAAAGCTCTTTTTCCTGTAAATTCCTCATTTTTAAAAGGTTGTTGATATTAATATGGCTAAAGCTCCCCCCCCCCTTTCTATATGTAGAAAGTTTATGGAATAAAATCATGGGACATATTCATTTGCCAGTTTTGCCAATTTTATTTAAATACTTTTTGCATAATTTCCTATTAAAAATAAAAATTACTTAAAAAATAATTCAAGCCCTTCGTGGGCCTTTAATTTTTCAATGAATCTCTAAAGACAGATATTTGGAAACTCCAATCTGTGATGGCAAGGCCCCAGGGTCACCCAAGGCACTAAACCCAAAGTCAGTCTTTTCTGGGTCATAGTCATCTGATCTTTTATTTCCAAAGAACCAGAATAAGAAAAGATCAATCCACCCAGTGAAAAACCAAGTGGGGTGCATACTAAGCATTTATTGGTCATTATCTCTAGGTGGGTGAAGTTTCAATAACGCAGTTCTGGAAAGTATGAACTGATTGAGTCCTCTTTTCTTGTTACAGTGCCAATGGACTCCCTCATCCAGGAGCTCAGGTAAGATTTGCCCTTCATTACTTTTTCTCATATTGATTGGCATTAATTATTAGAATGACTTGTATTTTTTGAGCCTCACAATCCTTGTTTCAGTATGAGGAATAAGCCAAAGGGCTTCTTTCACCTAAACTCTGTCTAGACACCAGAGAAGCAGAGAAGGGGAACCACTGTACTGATCATTGATCCAAAACAGTGCATTCTAATATTTTGATAATGAAACATGACGACGTTTTTCTGTAATGTAATTTCTTCATGGAATGGTGCTACTCCTATCTACACACCTTGCATGAGGTCAGATTTTGCACTGATGGTCAGTGAAGAACGGAACTGTCATCCATGAACCTGATTAGTGGATTAACCAGATCTTAAGTTATCCACTTTTTGTTTTCAACAGCTGCATAATCCCAATAGGTAATCACATTATTGTTTTAGCCTAGATATTAGAAGATAATGTTATTGATGGGTGTTTTGGTTGGGTTCATGCATTTCCACCTTAGATACTATAACTATACCTCAGGCAATATTCTGAAAACTCCACCTTAATAGGTTTTATAGAATAAATTCCGATTAGATTTTTTTCACAGAATCTTTATCAAGGTATAGTTTAAAAAAAAACGGTACATTTTAAAAGTAGAAACCCATGATGATGATACATGTTCTGTTGGGAACAAGGTGATTCCCCTGTCCGTTCTGTAGGTATAATGTTGCAAACACAGAAAGTCCCACATCCGGTCTTTGATCCACCTTTCTGATAACAGCAACGGTCTGAATGTGTTCCTCAGGGAGATGTTTGAAAGAGGGGGGATGTGCAACAGTGTCTGATACACTTGGAATTGACAAGGTGTGTATTAACAGTTTACGCAGTTCTTCCAGGCAGCGTGCTTCATGACTTCCTGAAACACGGGCTGTATCAGTTACTTCCGTGTCACGTACGATTCACTCTAGGCTTACCCATTGTGTAGGACACCTGTCCATTACAATCCAGGCTGATGCTCTTCTCTGTGGAATTCTGTTAGCAGGGAATCCACAGCCCTGCCGGTGTTGTCCATTTCATCATTAAAAACTTTAATTTTTGCTTTGCTTTTATAAGAGCAGGACTTGTGGTATACCCACAAGTACACCATAAGTATACTTCAATTTGGACAGATTGAACTATTGAATTACCTGACTCATTTCAATTCTTGCTTTTTAAATCTGCTCTTACTTAAAATTCCTATCTTTCTGGAGACTTTATGACCCCTGTAGAATGATCAAGAGAAGTCCAAAATGATCAAGTGCTCAAAACCCATAAGATGCTTGCCGTGGGATGGTTTTCTTGTGGTCTGCTACAGAAACCCTGTGCCCATGAGCACATGGCTGGCTCATGGCTGAAGGGACTGTCAGAGTCTTTTTAGGTAATCAAGCCATTCAGAAGGAGGAAAAAGAGGACTTTTTAGTAATGTGTCAAGGAAAATAACTTGGAAAGAAAAAAAGAATTTTTAAGGAACTAACATATATGCTTTGGCCTAAGAAGAAACATGTAATCTCTACTAGTACATGATCCAGACTTGTGACTCAAAGACCAGCTCTCAACCACCAGGCAGTGCTTTCTCTCACACACAATACTGCTTAAAATATAAATTTAAAAAATGGTTCATCGTTCATGTTCTCAAGCAGCCAGATTTTTTAAATCCTATATTTTAATCCTTATGTTTTATATTTCAGCAACCTAGTTTTTAAAAGTTTGGCCAAAAAATATATTTTAGTTAAAAGTAATAATGTTTTCTATTCTCCTAAGTTTCTAAAAGTTGCTATTTTACCTAATTTGTTATTAGAGTAACTTAGAAAGCTGGGAAATTTTCATGAAATTAATTCATCTATTTTTCTTTAACAAGAGGCACTTTATAAAATTTTATAATTATTTACGTTCAAAAGAACAATCATGCTTAGACTGATCCCTATTTTTTCTTAAATGGTTTAAGTTGACCTTGACATAGACCCTTACTATCTTTCTAGACGAGGCTACTTCAAAAAGTTCACAAAAATATCGAATTAAAGGAAATACGAAGATTTTCCATGAACTTAGGGGAAAAGTACTGATTCACATGGAAGCTTATTTTCTTAATGCCTTTATCATTGTTTATATAACTTTATCTATTTCCTACAGTTGGTCTTTCAATTTATTCCACAGATTTGTCATGATCCAGAATCACAACTGCGTGCCTGAATTTTGAGTATCTTAGGAAATGTGGCACGTTTTCCCCAGTGTACAAGTTATGGCTATTTTGTAGACAACGTTGGCAATTTTATTGAATTCTTCTTTTTAGAATGCATTGGACATGTTATTGCTTCTAGAGCGACTACTTACAAAAATACTAATACAAATGAAGCTAATTTAAATATACTGTATATTGTTCATGGCACTAATAAAAATTGATACTGACATTCCCATCTTCTTATTATACTCTATTGTCAGCTACTACCATCACTATTAAAAAAGCAATTTATAACCACACGCCACCTTTAATCATATTCCTTATTAGCATTTCCAGTCTTTCCTCTAGCACAATTCAGCTTATTCTTATTATACTCTATTGTCAGCTACTACCATCACTATTAAAAAAGCAATTTATAACCACAGGCCACCTTTAATCATATTCCTTATTAGCATTTCCAGTCTTTCCTCTAGCACAATTCAGCTTACAGGTGGTGTTGAAAGGTCTCTCTTGCGTCTTTCTAAATCACAACCATTGCATTATCTCTGCTCTCTTATTTTATTACGATTATCCTTAATCTTAACCTCATGCTATTGCATCTACTAATATTGGTAATTGTCTCATGCACTGGCAAAATGTTTTACACCGGTCCAGCCCCCTTCTTCTAATTAGGAAAATAAATTCTAGCCTCTGAAATGGCTTTCCTATGTGACTACTTAGAGAGACAAATAAATTTAAGGCTCTTAAGTCTATTAGAGTCAAATCCCACCATCCTTTAGTGGTCGTATTGCTGTTTACCAATATGTTGGCTTAAGTTTTGCAATGAAAATTTTAATTTAGGTGCCTCTTTTTGCTTTATTTTATTTTATATAATTTGTTCTTTTCATTTAAAACCCTATATTTTGGTATTTTCTTGTAAAATTTTAAATGTTAAATATTTTACGAGCTCTCTAATCAATAAGTTATAGATTTAATAACAACATTTCAACAGTATATGAAAATTTTTGTGACTTACAGATTTAGATGACTTTCCCTTTTTTCTTCTATCTTATTTCTTTCACTACAGTGTTTATATCAGTTAAATATTTTATTTTAATACTTAATAGTTTTCTTTCCAATTTTTTTTTTTTTGAGAATAAAATTTTCTTTAGTAGTCATGATTTTATTGGCATTTACTTATTGTATAAAAATTTCTGGAGATGACAAATAAAGAAAGAAATTAACAGAAACTGATTTCTAATAGTAAGTGTTCCACAAATCCATCATCAGGTAAAGGAAATTATTGGTTTCAATCACAAGGTTGGATAAAAAGAGGCAGAAACCCTCTTTTTTCCTTTTGTTACCGTCATTTTCAAATGTGGGGCTCGGTGCATGTTTTGGATTATTTAGTAGCAGATCTGCTATATTCATGTTGGCAATAGGTCTTTCTAAATATTATGGCCAATCTTACAAATTAGAGTCGAAGAAGCTGACACCTTAAAGAAGATCCATTTTTCCTATCACCCACTTTTGAGAGGGAAGTGAGACTGCTAACCAAAGATGCAGACGACGAGGATTTCGTTTAGAAGCAGAGAAGTGGCCTTCAGGCCACCCGCCCCTCCGACGTCCTCCCCCACGTCTCGGGGCCTCGCCCCCTGAAGCGTTCCAGGGACAGGATGTTAACGTTTCCTGTACTGCACTTACTAGGGAGGAAAGTGTCTTAAAATACATTGGAGAAGATTTTGACAAGAATTAAAACGGAAGGGAGTTTGTGGTTGAACAAGAAAACTCAATGGACGACAAGGCGATCTTGTGTTCCTGCGTCTGCCGGGTCTTTCATAGCATTTAGCGTCGAACTTGCTGTTGAGGGGGATGCTCAGTAGTTGCTGAAACAACACGCACGGTGTCCAACGAGCCTGTGAGGTAGTCAGGACAATGACATTATCTGCACGTGACTCCTGAGCTGAGTCCGGGGAAGTCCAGTGCTTTACACAGCATCCCTGACTCGGAAGCCGCTGACCCCGAGCAGGACCTGGGTCCCTGTGCCTGCAGCACACCCCCCAGCCGTGCCAGCGGCCCAGCGGCCACTTCACCGTCCCCTGGGGTATTAATTTAAACTTTTCCAGTAAGTCAATAAATCAAAGAAACATATCCTGACCTGCAAACAAACTTTTCACCTTTGCTTTACTCCCTGCACTGCCAGTTATAAAGAGGCCACTGTCCTTTCCTTCTAAATTGCTTTTTGTGAATTGATCCTGTGACTTTAAGTCTACGACAGAATTTCTAGAAATGACACAAATATCTGTACATTATATTTGTTTTTTCTTTTAAAATACCACCTCCCAGGTGATGAGTTATCACGGGCCTTGTACTTCGGGGACTGCTTTTGCAGCTCGGAGGTGTGAGTCCCCTGACCTCCCCACCTGGGGCCATAGTCATTTAGAAACGGGCTGATGATAGAATCCTGTTTCTTCACAGCATCCTGAGCTCAGGAGACCAAATGGATTTGGTTTCGCCAGTTTCTACACCATATATATATGGGATACTTCAAAAAGTTCATGGAAAGATTTATACTATTTTTAAATTCTATTTTTCCATGAACTTTTTGAAGTACCCTGTATATAGACAGATGTAGACATCACATATGTGTGTGTGTATATACATATACAGACACACACACATGTAGAATTTTGATTACATGAGACAGGGCACTGCTCAGGTTAATTGCTACATTCTATTTTAAATTATGTCTGTGTTTCAGAAAACAATACTAAGGGGTTCACAGGGTTAAGATACTCAGAAACAAAATAAGGACAAAACATGTAC